TAATAAATCAAAAAGTACATTAAATTGAAGTGGTAAATATTTTATGATAACTATTTGTCTGCAGGCTAAAATGCTCTCTAATTAATAGATAATTAATGATAGGATTTTGGGTAATTAATGTCTATAAAATAAATTTCCTTATATATGTCATGAAGCTTTTAGATAGGGTGTCACTTTTATGCCAGTAATGTCAAAGGTTAGAAGAATAGAAGATTTATGTTATTTTTATATGGAAATGTCACTGAAATTATTAAATTTTATTATCAGTTATATTATTATAATTGACTCATAAAGTGCGAATTATTTTATTTTATATTTAAAAAAATGTACGATTAAAGAAAGATTATGCTTAAATGCACTGATAAATCTGTGATGGCTGTTGACTGAAAGATTTGTACGTAGCGCTGAGTGCTTAGTTCGAGTTCCTTAAGATTTTTGTTATAAAAGTTCGGTGTTATGGAATGAATAATACTTAGGCCTGCTATAATATAATAGATTTTTTTCTACAAAAGAATTTGATCAAATAATAATATGAACTCGTATTATCCGTAATTACGAGGAAGAATGCTGTTCAGGGTCAATCAATAAGATATTAAGATTTTGATCTATTTTGTCATGTTTTTGTAAGATGATACCATCGACTAAGGTAAATATGTCGTGACTTCCATTAAACGCTATTTGTAACTGAGTGTTGATTACATTGTTTGTCATCGCTATTTTGAGATGTTTTTCATTGATAGGAATTTTATACGTAGCCCCCCTGTTCGATGAATGTTTATAGCAGCAACGTTTTAACAAATTAAAAAAATTATAGAGGAATCAGTCATTTCATTGTTTGAATAAAATTATGCTTCAGCAATCAATTCAAAAAATATTCTGAACATATGTAAATTCCGCTCTGAGAAGTTCTGATTTCACCGAATTATTCAATCCAATGATTGCTATCATCAAACGTATTCAAAATTCTTCGAAAAACCTAATTTTAAATGCTTGTAATCTACGACTAATATAAGCGTGACCCTGTCACACAAGTGCGATTAATTGCAAAGTATTTAACTGTCGCTAAACCGGTATTTACTTCATAAACACACAATAAACAGTACCGTCCGTCATTAATATTATAATGACAGAACGCTATTAAGATAGTATAAACAATCGTTCAGTGCCAATTAAGACTGACTCGTTTCATAGCTTTTTTTTCTTTCAAAACGTAAGATTCTAAGTCAAATAAGCCCTCATTGACTGGTAATTACTTATCTTTCAAGCCTACAGCAGATGAATTTATCGTGGGAACAGCTTACCAATCACGATTAAACAATTTATTCTTGTTAATTATTAACGAAACATAATATGAGATATTTTGTGTCATTCTTAAAAAATTTCATGAGGTTTAGTCTGAGCTAAGTTGAAAATTTGTCCATAGAATGGTGATTTTATAATTCTGAAAGAAATTCACGACAAACCTAAATTGTGCGAGAATTTCAGTATTTCGACCACCATCAAATAAACAAACATCAAAATGCGACATAAAAATGTTGGTGGTTTTGTAATGACTGGAACAAGTTATTATTATGTTATTTTAAGCATCTTCGTCATCTGTTTGCGATTTTCGGTTACAGGTGAAAATGCGCTTAATTAAAGATTAAAGCAGATTTAAATTGGTTTGCGGCATTCTTAAGGTACGAACTATTCCAAAGTAAAGCATTTAGCAAAATTAACAGATGTTTTGCATTGACTTCGGGTACACATATACGTTTTATAAGAGGTTCTTCTATGCAAAATTAGTCATCATTTGCCCTATTATTTATTCGTTACCTATTTCGAATATGTTTTTAGAACTACTTTTATTTTGTGTATTTTTCTTTAAGGTAGAAGTCAAGTTTGAAACTTATCCTAATTAAAAACTCAATTAAATGTATATAATATAATGAAGTGATTTAAATGGCTATACTCATATTACCTACTCCTTCATAAATTTGAAAATTATATAAAAAATAAAATAAACTACATAGAGTTTCATTATATAGTTTTATTATATAATGATAGTTTTGAATTGTCCAAGAATTGATTATTTATTATTTTTGAACCAGCACGATTTTTACTAAAACACCGGAATGACTCATTGATGGCGAAGTTGGTGACCTGAAAATTATTGTTTCAGCTATTATTTCCGGTATTATGATAAAGGTTGTTATATTCTGCTAGCATATAGGTCATGATTTGCTTAATCATAATTTGATAAAATTTGGCTTAGATTAGTAGCAATACAGTAGTTTTTAGACATTCTTTTGAAACGCGAAGTGAGAATTTTTACTGTACGTGCAGGCGCGATACTGTTCTTGGTCAGAAAGAAAAAACACTATAAATTTAATGTGGATCAATTTCTTACTCATATTCAGTTAAAAATTAGCAAACATTCTTACTACTGCTGCAATCGACGATTTTCGCATCGTCAAGTTTGTTATATTTCACTAAATATTGCGACTGCAAGAAAATTCATAATTGGTATTCATTCAAATTTGCACTTAGTAACTCAGTAACCGTGTGAAAACACCGAACTGTTATTCGTCACTGTGTCTCACTTTTCCAAAGAGACCAAAACCACGATGCACTCTCGTAAGATTATTCGGAATATCCTTATTTATATGACCTATATATACAAGTTCAACGTAATTTAATCAATTGAACAAATCTGTTTGTGCGGTTTGCTCCCTTCAAAAAAAAAACGTCGATGAATTTGAACTGATTCAAATATTTGAGATGCAAAACCATGGTATACAAACAATAAAAAAAACTCTAAGTATGAAGTTCACGTGAATAAATTCTATTAATTAATAAAAACTATTAAACCTTTCGCACACTATACTGCCACGTGTGCTTTCATATCTTGAACGCGAAAAGTAAGAAACATACATAGTGCTGATTTAGTTTATTTAGATTTATGTATCACACAAATATTGAGTTCGGTGCCTTGGTACAAGATGAGAAAAATACACAACGACTAAAAACTATAAACGTTTAAAAATAAATAGTAGATAATATCATATTTTCCGTGGTCATATTTCATTTAAAAATGGGGAAATGAGTTCAAGTGTTTTGATAGAAATGTTAAACCTAATCATAAGCGATATGTATGATTTGTTTCGGTGTCGGCGTCTGTGAGATCGAAATAGGAAATCGTAAACAATGAAAGCCGAAAAAGCGAAAAAGCGTCAAAAAGACAAATTGTTGCATGTGGTGTTATTTTTAAAAATAGGCACAAAAAACTATATAAGAGACTAACTAGCCATAGTCTATTATATTTTAAGAATGCCTTCGCTGTGCGCTTACCGCTTAATACCAAAGAGTATTAGTGACTCTTTGAACGTACGGCAACTGGAGGAAAAGTTTGGAGCGTGTTTGATTCATTCAGATCATTTAAGAAATGATAGCTGTTTACCGAATAATTCTTAGCCTATTTGTCGCAAAAGTCACGTCGAACGCTCTGGCGTCACTTGCAACCAGATGCGTGTCTAGAGGGATTTGTTGCTTAGTTTGATGATTTATTAAATAAGATTACAAACTTATTCATTCTTATGTCAAACAATATCTATAGTTTGTTTATCTCCCGAATAATTTTTGAAGTTAGGTATAGGGGCCTTATTATCAGAAACTCGTAGAAAAAAAGGTTTGGTGTACTTGCTTGCAATATTTCTGTCACCAAATTTTCTACTATTTAGGAGTCAGTCGGTTCGTGACCTCACATTGAACGATTCTAGTACGTTTACACAGATCGAACTTTTTAAAGTCTAAACGTGATCAGAAGTAGATAATGTACACAAGAGGAAAGTTATATTGAATACTAATAGCTCACGTATGGGGTTTTCGATAGTTTAATACTCAATTCGCGATAGATACTATCATCAGTTTTAGACAATGTGGAAGTGAGTGGAAAATGTAGCCGTGTATCGTATAATCAGATTGATTGATGGCAAGGTAGTGAATACCATATTGCAAAGACGTTGTATTGGGACTGCCAAACTTTATAGTATATATAGGTAAGCAGTTCGATTACTTTCAGATAACAAGTGAATGTAATCTGTATATTATTTAAAGGAGAATATTTCAATAACAATGTGCTCAAGTGAAACATTTTTTTAAAAAAACATGTCTATTTTTGTATTTGTCAATTACCTATATGAATTACAGAATTTTTATAAACATAAAGATTCTTCAATTTGACATTTTTATCCTTTAACACCACTTCGGAGAACTTCAAAAGGAAATTGGTAAAAATTGGACCGAAAATTTTGGTGAAGCTCAATGCGTCCAAGAAAAAAGTCTTTTTTAATATTAAATCCAACTATAGATCCGAAATTCCACGGGCCACTTATGAAGATTTCCACTCGTACAGATTTTGGGGGATAGGCAAAAGCAGTCTTTAGTCGTCGTTAACTTTCTTATACATGTATATTTTGGAATTGCGCTCAAAGTTACCTTGTAAAAAATACGAGATGAACGTAGAAGTGAATTCAAGAGTACAAGTTTACATGTACAATATCTTTATTCAAATTAGCAGCGCCTCTAGCCTATCTCACGTTTTCATCAATCAACGTCACGACAAATCGCTAAAAACCAACATCGTCGGAACAAGATCTTTTTTCTTTCAATCGAGTTTACGAATATATTTTTCTTATTAGATATAATCATCGTTTCTATTAGCATTTGCCAGGAAATTTTGCACTAGGAATATCCGATTTCAATTATCAAAAGGAGTGACATATGAGATGAATGAAACATAAGAAATAAGCACCGATACAGTTGAAATGGTTATAACTAACTAAATTAAAAATATTACTTCTTTTTGTTGTTTTTTTTACTCCCTTTGTTTGTATTTTTGTATTATTACCCAAACGCAATTCGTAGTTCATTTATATGTTTTAAACAAATATCATTAACAGTTTCAACTTGTGTTTTTGAAATTATGAGTGCCAGCTCAAAAAAATTAAACAGCTTCAAACTGTCATCATATTTCCAGATTAGTGCAATATTGAAACTAACAGTTAGATTAAACAGTCAATATGAAGAGTTTATTAGTTCTCATCGTTTTACTCACAACACTATATGAGAATGTTCAATCATACACATGGGGAGTCCCAGACACTGCTTGCGATTTCTTCACCCCTTCTCATATAGGAAGAAACAGAAAACCTGCTGAAGATTACTACAAGCTTTCTTCAAAGAAAATGATGTTTTCACCTGGAGAAACTATCGAAAGTAAGCCAGTATAGCTATTATACATTCATTTTTAGTAGCTCAGTTTCTAATAAAATCAATGGATCGAATTAAATATTAACTGAGCTCATTTGTCATTAAAATAAACGTTATCGAAGCAATATTCCCTCATCTTGAATTTTATATTTGCGAAGATTTTTAATATTTCTCTTCCCCAAGTTTGTTTTTATTTCACTAAATATTACAACGGAAAGGGATTCTACATCGCGTGTAATTTATTCTTCAAATATAAGGATTTATTACAAAACATTTTTCTTTTTTAGTCAAAGTGATGGGAAGATACCTAAGATCAAAATATACATACACTGGTTTTTTGATGTCGGTGAGTTATCTTTTCATAATGCTTTTATTTGAAAGAACGAAAAAAAAACATCAAAATGGGAAATATTTATCAACGTCTTCAACTATATGAAAAAACCTTATACGCACTTCAAATAGACTCGTAAACTCAGCGGAAATAACAAAAATAAAGCTTTCTGATGCTTTCTGGTGGCAAGATTTCATGGTTAATATAAAATGTCTTTATTGTTTGTCTCGTGTTATAAAATCTTGCACTTTATTGTTTTGAACAAAATAAATATTATTCTATTAACTTGCGGCATGTCACTATCGTTTGTTTCGTAAACTACGGATCACATGTCAATGTGCGTAAATCAATTATGTTAGCTGACAGTTCAATCAATGTTCAGGCTTTGCTTGAACAATATTAATCAACTTTTTTATTAATACATCAAACAAAAGACCACTGACATTGGAAAACAAACTATTTTGCATCGAGAAGACGCTTTTAACACAAGAAAATTTGTTTCCAAATATAAAATTTTAAATTTTTTGCAATTGCTTTCTAATGTTCACATTTGATTATTATGATTGCAAGTCCTTGCGATAAGTCCCTGTTTATTAAGTTTTGTCACAACCTCTATAATAATACATTAATGCCAAGAAATTAAATTCTTGAATTTCTGATAAGCATATGATAAATAAACATGACATTTAACTATAAGATAGAAACGTATGATTTGACAGACGTTGGAAAGGTTAGCATGGATTACTTCGTGAACTTCAAAATGCCATTGAATCAAGAGTCAAATATCATGCACCTTACGTCGATACGTTTCGCTTACGAGTGGGAACACATAGAACGATTTTTAAAAATGACCCTTACACGAGGGAAGTGTGGAGTAAAAGTGAAGTACTAGCATTCATTTTACCAAATGAAGAATATGTTTTACCAGATTTTTTAACAAAACGATTAGCTTTAAAATATTTTTGTCATCATTTTTATCGTTCTAATAAAATAATTGCATTTATACTATTTGGTGTATGAGCAAATGTATCCATTATCATACCTTATCATTTTATTACGCACTTGAATCCTATGATGGCGAGTGAAAAATCGACGTTCCAGAGTATGGAGGTAACTCGCCTACTTTTTCAAGTTGTTTAAAGGAACGGAAGCCTATGGAAAGGGAGTATGTTGACTTGGCTAACACAGACAGTCCCTGAAGTCGTAATAAAACTAAAATAAAGAAAATTGGAATAAAATTATGGCCTGACCCTAACCTGGTACACATACTACGGGAGTACCGAAAGTCAGCAGAATATAATTTGGATTGTTATTGAGACTCATTCAAATATAATGTCTGCAATAACACCAATGTTCTCATATGTTTGTTGCTAACATAAAACAGATAAAATCTCAAATGAACACGCAGATGGGTTTATTTATGTCCGAATGCATAACAAACACGATACACATTTGTGCTTACGCAGCGAACGTATTCATAAAAACGCTACATATTCCAAAAATTTTGATTCCATATCAGCATTTCAATCTAAAACATAAATAATGTGTTAGTCATGACAAGAAATACGCTTTAGAAAAAATGCAGTTTATATACTATTATTTTAGAATGATATTAACTTCTGAAACGTAAGCTTGATTATAGTTAGTTGCATATGACAATGGTATTACTGAATATTCTCATGTTTTAATAATCTGTTGACATAGAAGTCAAGGCGCGAACACACAAAAGCGCGTGTTTGTCCGTGATGCCGCGATAAAAAAATATTTAAATTCATGATATTACATTTTCAAAGTTTATTAAACCAGAAAATAAGTGGCGAAAAAAAAGTTATTTTTCAGCGATTTAATTCAATTCATTTTAATTTTTTTCAAACTATTTATGTAAATATCAATGGCGGATATGCGAGACTAACTCTCAATCCTTCCTTCATGCATTTGCGCTAGTGAAAACGTATGCATATAAGGCGGGGATTCTGGGTACTCCCGTAATGTGTATACCAGGTTAAGGTTAGGGCATAATTTTATTTCGATTTTCCCTATTTTAGTCCTATTACGAGTTCGTGAACTTTCTGTGTTAGCCAAGTGAATACACCTCCTGCCCATTGGTTTCAGTCCCTTCACACAACTTGATCTAAAGTAGGCGAACAAAAATAGTTACCTCCATATTGGTACACACACTTCTGGAGCGCCGGATTCTATAGTAGGAATAAACATTACCATATTATGCAGTTCCAGTATTGAATTATTGAATTACATAGTATGTATGTAAACTTTACATTTTCGGTGTTTTGAAAGTCAATCGATATCTTTTGTACTCAATACAGGCCTATATTCTGACTGGTATAGAGGATCCTCGATTCAAATCTGCTGGGATAAATTATCATTGTCTCTTTACAAACTTGACCATTAACCCCACCACAAGGTGCAATAATCGCGATGACTATAAAATAAATATAAAGGCAAAAACATGGCTGGTTGACGGAAAAAACTAACCATTAACACCAAATAGCACATTTTGTGGTATGTCGACCTGCTCAAATTTCTGTTTACTGATTTAGTAGAAAAATTATTTCCTATTTCAGGTGCGCAAAGACCAAGAATCCTTTGGGACGTGGGAAGAATCATTTGATCATGAACACATTAACTGTAACAGAAAGATAGGTAGCGCTATTGCTGATTCAAACCAATTTCCCAGAGTAGTGGGACAAGATGTCTACAGATGGACTGCTCCAGACGAATGCGAATATGATCAAATGTATTATGTCAGGTGTGTCTAAATTTTATGATCATTATTTTAATTTTATGATTCTGATTCTGTGTATTCTGTGAAAAAAAAAATACTATAACATAGAATCAAGTTATTTTCAAAAAATTATGATCTTCCAAGGACATTAACACTTCGTAATAAGCCTGTGGAAGTAACTCTGCTATCTCAATTAACAGCGCCACCATAGCGAAGTCAAAACGTGAATTTCTGGATGGATTGATGCTTCCATTGAAATGTGTGCACAAGTCAAAAAACGTTGATGATAGCTGTTCAAGACAATTTTATGCAATACCCGAAGGTAGGTGAAAAATATTCCGCAAATTGAGCGCATTTTACAACACGGAAATTTCTAATTAAATAGTCAAATAATATTCAGACACTTACGCAAGTGTTTGAATACGAAAAACGCTTAGTTTCTACGATACTATTCTTTTCATTTTCTTGATAAGTTGCTCAAAGAAAGGCCATTCTCACTCAATTAGAAAATGAATTATCACATCAAAGCAATGTTATAATATATAGACAATCACTTAAATGCCAAGATCTACTGAAATTATTTAGATTTAGATGGCACTACATCATAGTATACGCTAGTTGACGAAAGAGTTTAATCATTTCAGGTCAGATAATCAGAAAACTTAGTGGCAGTATGTTGCCTATTACTGAATTTTCTAGTAAACAAAATTGAGGGTGTAAATTTCACTGATTATGGGGTAAACTGGAAATGATCGAATCAGAGCTTAATGTTTTCTGATAACCATAATGATTTTTGCGATATCGGAATACCGGTATACATTTAACGAGTTCCTGTATCGTGGATTTGTTTATTAAAGATGTAAAGTTTAGAGATGCATATACAGATTCATATAGTACGAAAAAACAATTGATAATATGGGTAAAAATTAATAATCAGCGACAAGTATTCTGTAATCTTATCTAGGTATTTGCGAAATGCAAAAGGTAGTTCAATTGTATTGCAATGCTTCCAATTTGTATAAAAATTGGTGAAACTACACCGAAATCAGCGCAATATTTTACTTGCAATTCTCTTATTAGTAAGTTTTAAATAAATGGCCACAGCCCTGTGTCTAAAAGACTAATTAACTTCTATTGTTAGACAGTAAGAAGAACTTCTTTTGTATGAGCACTAATAACTAAGACTTTATTTTTTACTGAAAAGGTGCCAATACTTCATTTGAGTTGGACAATCCAGGAAATTGGACCGATGATATAAATTCAAAAATACCTTGGACGTGGAGAACTGGCAGCACACCGTCCCCTGGGACAGGGCCAAAAAATGCCAATGACGGAAGTAAGATTAATCAAGTTTAAGTATTAGCATATTTATTGAACACGAAATGGACCTATAGATCGTATTTCTGTTGGTAAATTTTATTGTTCTTTTTTCTTGGTGTTATTGTTGTTATGAAAAATCAGCTTTGTCATTAAACTACTGGACAAATTGATTTATAATTTTCAGAAAGTTGATGTCACTGGAGGGCTATTACTTTTATTCATTTCGAAAAATATAGTGGATTTTACTGGATTCGTTTCCCACTTTTAATTTTGGTGTACTGAGCTCATCAAAATTAAAAAACTGCGCACCGTTTCGTGGTTCTACCGGCACTTTAAAAGATTTGATACTACTTTGGCCTCTGTGTCTACGTATTTCTCTCTTGTTTTATGGTCTTCGAACACGACTTAATTTTAATAATAGGATATAATGAAAATATGCATCTTGCATCAAAAATCTTTATTAATAAGCAGTTCCAAATCAATTTTTCATACTTATGCGGTGTTGAATATGTAAAAAGGTTATACAAAAAACTAATAGAAATTTGATATTTTTTGAGAAGGCAAGTGCAATAACCATACCAACACATTTATGCCATGCTGACCTTAGCTGTGCTAGATTGACCCTAGAGTTAATTTAATTCAAAATTCTCGCGTAATTGAATTTTCAAATTTCGAACCAGCATGGCGATTTTTGAGTCAAGCTTATTCTAGCTATTCGTCCTCGCCGTATGATGGCTAATAGGCATGCTAACTAGTAAACGGTTATCTCCCCTACTCTGCAATCTGTCAAATATTGGATATTTGTTCACGGTATTAACGGTAGCTGGCTGTTACAGTCGTTTGGCGAATGCATTCATATTTTAAAACGACCTTTTTATACCTCTTTCACCCTGAACAAGTATCTGCAGGCAACACCAAATAAATGGCTATTATATTTTTTGAGAAACTTGAAAACTCGAAATTTTTTACCTGAGATGCCAACAAAACCAAGCTCATTGATTTAACTATTAAGTCATCACGTCTTCTATTTGATATATATTTTGAATTACATTTCGTGCATTTACATTTCATCTATTTCAACAGATTACTATCTATACATGGAAGCCAGTTTTCCCTCCAGAAGAGGCCAGAAAGCAATTTTAGTCAGCCCTCCAGGACTGAGTGGTTGTCTTTGTTTCCGATTCGCTTATCACATGTACACAGATGAAGACGTAAAGTTTTATTGCTCAGTAAATGGCAAGAATGTACCGTGTCAGCATCCAGAATATTCGTATGAAAACGAGAATTCTGCTCCCCTTGACACAAGGAGAGATAAATGGATCAATTCTTGGATTTCAATAAATGAACCAGGAAATGTGAAGGTTTGTAATATATGCGTCGTTGAAAATTGTTAAAAAATTTTGTATATCTTTGTTGGACTCATTCGATAAACATGTACAATGAGAGAATATCAAATATCGACGCTGCGAGTGGCGCATCCTGCTAGGCGTTAGAATACGCTTGCCTCCGCATCTCTGATTACCTTGCGTGTGTTCCCACGTTCAAATTCCGAGGGGGGATAATTATGAGCTAGACTGCTATAGCTTTGCTGACTCTTCACCGCCGTATGGTGGTTCACTGTTTACGGTAGGGTGGTTTCACCATCAAGTCGATGCATCTACGCATCAAACAAGAACAACTAATTCCATAACCAATATGTCCTGGCAACCGGGCGAGAGACCGTGGTACGCCATATGATTAGGTCTCCTTCTCGGTTTTCATCTCCCTCGGAATAAGAAGAATAACATATTCTATCCTATTCGTTAATATTCACACGATGGACGTTTTCATAACCGTCGACCACAGATAATTCTTCCTATGACTCACCACGGCAAAAGATTGATGCATATTTTAGTGATTACATACTGGTTTACATGTTCATAACCATCATTTAGGTTCAAAATATTTAAACACCTGCCATAAAAAAGAATAGCTAATATTAGTATATCGTAGCTTTTTAAAACTAATTTGTGACTGCTTTAAGTAAATTAATCCCATCGAAAAACGAACTGACCACATGGTTATTTTATCTATACCTAAATTTCGGAAACACAACTAAAAACTCATCGATAACTAGCACAAACACAAAAAGGAAACAATGTTTACAACCATGCTTAAAAATCTGGTTAATTGAAAAGACGTCTAGCCGACCCACAAAATTATAATTGTTAAATCACTGTTAACATCCTGCTAATTGGTCATTCTTACGAAAATAAGAAGAGGAGTCGATATTCTGAGAAATATTTACTGTTTGCTATTATACCTGTGCGTGGAATGGCTGTATTGTAGAATGAATCTACAATTTGCAGTAAACTTCGGACAAACATTAAAATTTCAGGCCAGGAAATGTACTTTATGTCATGTTACTCGTTTATAGCATAGATCACAATAATGCTTAGGCAAGTTAAGGACAAACGTTTGTGGTAGAATCGAGACATTTTGACCCGGCTTTAAAAGAAATATAGAAATTGGAACTATATGCTATAATAAAATCTCAAAACACGGAAAATGAATGATATTAAATATTGCTGCAGTTTTTCTTTTAACCGAACGTTATTTTTAACATTTTTCAGATTAAAATCATTGGACAGCGTGGAAATACATTCCGTGGAGATATTGGATTAGACAACTTTACCTTCACTCCTGGTGTTTGTATAGAAGACGAAAAAATAGATTTAAATTTTGAATAAATTTCTCTTTCTTCCTATTTAACACTAATATAGCTACTGTAATATATTACAGTATCAAGTTATCCCAATTAGATATTGGTATGAGACATGAAAGTTCGACACATCCCAAACCTCATCTCGAAAAAATTCATTGTTATAATTGAACAAAAGAAATGTTTTTTTGGATTAATTATCTTATAGTATAATTTGCCGAGTACAATTAAATCATATTTTTGATCGTTCACGTCTAAATTGCAATTGTCAAGTAATGTACAGCCAAGCCGTTTTTTAAATTTTTGTTTAAAACTTATTTATGCTTTCGTTGACACAATTTGTCCACAATTTTGTCGTGATAAATTCTTTCACGTCAAACTTTTATCACCGTATTCACTCTAAGTACTACGTTTTCATAATTTAAAAAGACAGCCGAGATAATTTTGATAAAAAAAATTTGAATCAATTAACAATTTTATTTGACAAATAATATTTTTAGCATTTTTAACATAGTGAACCGTACTTCAGAAACTTTCGAACATCCTTTCATATCATGTTTGGATCTTTATCATCTAAAGTCTGTTCTGAAAAGTTCAGCTCAAAAACATGAAAAAAATTAACCACTTTAGTGTCGTTATATGGAGTCAAATATATATATTGAGCTATATTTTTTTTTCTTGTGATTAGTTTTTATAATACACATTGCAGTACTATATACTACGACTTTTTAATACGCAAGAAATTATGAATATCTGTGGTACAAAAAGCGCACAAGGGCGGTAATATCAGTAATGATAAAAAGGTGTCTATATCACGACTTTTAGCTTTACCTGGGCAGCAGTTTCATATGTAAATTAAATTCAATACAAATTTATAAACTGGGACAATATTATTCTCTCAATATTATTTAACTCTCCATATTAGAGAGTTAAATATTTGAAGAAGTAGATATCAAAACGTATAATTCGAAGGTTTACGATGAGCTATATGTCTATATTACACAAACGTGGGATATGGATCGTTCTGAAAATGAATTAGGATTCTGACAAAATTATTCTTCCAAATAGAATCACAGAAAAGATAGATATAAGCAATCAACAAATATCTGAACACTAATATATTGTGATCTGCACCGCTCGCCTTCAAAATCCACTAATTCGATGAAATTATTCAGTGAGTAACCCCATGAGAACACAGTTATTTAAAATCAGAAACATTTGAATTAAAAGGAGCTCCAATAAGCCCCGATTATACCAAGTGAATATGTAATCTGGTCGCCTTATCGACTCTTATGGCTGACGTTTGGCGTCGAAATTGAGTAAACGGGACTATTGATTTTTAAAATCGAAATTGAATACAATGCATACAATACGTATTCACAATAATTTAAAGAGCTTTTATGAAGATCTTAACCCAACTTCCTTGTTTTCCACCTGTAACAGTGAACACCCGCTCAACTCATGTTTTACCTCGCTTAACTAAAACGTGGTTTCAAAATTAGGATATTACGAATTTACACTCTTTCGTCAACCTCTCTCTGCGCTATTTAACATAGTGGTGATGCTTGATCACCGCTTGACTCTGTTCAGTTTTTGGATGTACTTGCTCAAAACCAAGTATTCAAAGCATCGGAACTTTGCTGCGCCATTTAAAAACATTCCTGTATATAATCAAATTATTGAGTTGTTATCAAGCTCAGGGGCGGTCTCGGGGGGCTGGAGGGGGGAGAATACGATACAGAAGAAGAACCTGTTTTTGTTCGGCGGGTAGAGCATCGTGCATATAATTATTGTACTCTGCGCGCGTTCGCAGGTTTAAATCCCGTGGGTGATAATCAGACGCGAAATGATTGCTGGACAAAACGGCGCTTTGGACGATATATTAATTTTCTACCTACGTTCGAGGAGTAGAATATAATTTCACGTAATAGAATTGGTGTGTGAAGTATGTTAACCAGGATGGCGGACTTTACTTATTTGGTTCTATTACGAGTTCGGGGACTAGCCAAGAGACTTCCATAGTATCTGTACCTGAATTTATGGCCTAATTTGACAAACCATGCGTAAAACCATTCACTTTGATGTTCGGAAGTAGGCTACATAGTGTGCAAACAATTATTTTTGAAAATGAACATAACAAAGTACACGTAGAGGTTGCGCGAGAATAACTCACAATCCTTCCTCAATGGATTTGCGCTAGTGCAGGGGTCATCAAACGGCCGGATCCGGCCCGCGACGTCATTTTATCCGGCCCGCGACGTCATTTTATCCGGCCCGCGGCGTCATTTATCCGGTCCGCAATAACACGCAAAAATGGCTAAATTTTTTTCCAAGGAAGATTTTCACGAGCATCGTCGTCCTTGTTTATTTCGTAACATTGGCCAATCGGCAAGATGCAGAAAAGTGACGTAATAACACTTTTGTCACCCTGACAGATTTTCAGTCGTGGTTGTAAACAAAACTTCGTTTTTGCGACTTTGAATGCTACCAGTACGTAACGTTTTCTGCGATACACTTGTACACTCGTGGCGCTTGCTTTCGACCAAACTGTTTGTTTTTCGTGCTAAAATAAACGTCGAATGTGCATTTTGTGCTAACAGTACTGTAATCCCTCGCGTACTGCTCCAATTTCAAAAGCCACACTAACTTTTGTACTGCTTTAATGCGGATATTCATGTAGGTATGTTACAAAAAAATTGAAGTTCATCCGATTTAAATGAAAACCGCTCCAGTGGAAAGATCTGAGTAAAAATAGAAAACAATACCAAGTTTGGAATAAACGGTCAAGAAATAACGGAGATATCGGAATTTTAGTACCGCCCGACAGCCAATTTTTTCCATAATGATTATATTACTTTTTTGATAAGAACTGTACTAAATATGGAAAAATAACACATATCAATCACTAATCTTTCGATGTGCGTCACATCTATGGTATATTGAGATAATTTCAGGATTTTATTCTGGCAACGGTCATTGACACCGCCGAAAGATCGTCGCAAATAAACGCTGAAGTTGTGCATGATAGTTTGACAGTGGTTCATTGTGGGTAATAATTAACGATGTTCTGATTGTACGAACTTCATAAAAATTGGTAAGTATCAAGTTAGACAAGAAATACACACGTCCATATAAATTTTATTGGTGTCCATAGACAATATCAATAATTTGCACTACGTATAACTGGGGCATAATTTTTAAAAGCGTCGAATGTTGGGAAATTTATGCGCTAATGAAATAATTCAAATTCCAGATAATAGTTGTTTATTTTATCTAAATTATGTCAAAATTTCATAGAATTCCAAGCTACAGCAGGCAGTCGTTTTTATGAGCGGTATTTCAACACGGCGTAACGGTACTTAGCAGACGTGATGCGTACATTTTTTGCCGCGGATTTTGTAACATTTCTAATTCATGAAAGCAACGTTTTGATAACAGCTAAACTCAGGATAGTTGTTTAGATATAGAAATCTTGTTAATTTTTTTTCCTAGGATGTTCTCGATCTATATTCTGCAATATTACCAACTTTTGTGAATTTATTGTATTGCATTGACAAAAATATTCATCCGGCCCGTTTCAACACAATTTGAGTCATACCCGGCCCGCGGTCAAAAAAGTTTGGTGACCCCTGCGCTAGTGGATCCGTATGCACACAATGCAAGGATGCTGTGACAGGAACAAAAATACCATACTACGCAATTTAAGAGTCCTGCTGCACACTTACACGGATGAAAAACCTTTTTCCGTCATTGTTGTAAACTGCTTGTCTGAGGAAGTCTGATTTTGGTCAGACGAAACGTTACAGCAATACATTTGTGTTAGTGTGCAGCAAAGAACTAGTATTAGTGATACTTATTTAGAAAATGTTCCAATCTTGGCTTCATTCAGTTTGCCGCCGATGTCGAAAAGCTATCAAGCGTGATGCAGCAACAAGACAGCGTCACATTGAATGTCATTCGTAATTTTTTTTCTTTTAATAAGACGACTGAGTTGAGTTCACGAATTGTCGTAGTCCTCGCGCGCTGTTCCGTTTTTAACTTTCACAAAATATGTGCGGCCCGCCAAGACTTGCAACCCTTAATAACAAAAGGTTGCCGCCCCCTGGCGAAGCCAATCGTCGGTTACGGCTTCCCTCACTATCAAGTCCATGAATCTGAAACAAATAAATGGCTGAATAAGTTGAATTTTAGCGAAGATCGTTATGATGTATTTCGGTGCAGATCATCACGCAAGTACCCGGCTATTTTTGAGGAGGGGGAACTCTCGATTCTTTCATTTCCGACCTCTTATATGGTGGATAAAGGGTTTTGAGCTGTGGCACTATTGCTATCAAAACAACGAAACCGTCTTTTCATCAGTAAATGGTGTGATTTGAGATTGTGCCTGGCGAAAATGTCACTAATTATTCAAAAACACGCTGAAGACCACCAAGCTCATCCATCCTATTAAAATACAAAAACAAATTTTTTTGTAGTTACGGCGACAGTAAGTAAATTACTGTAGGGGGGCGATGATACAAAAAGTTTGGGTACCATTGATCTAGCAGCGTTTCCCAAACTTTTTCCGCCACGGAACACTTACACTTTTATCTCGCCCCGCGGAACACCAAAAAATGGAAGGGTAACATTGATAAAGAAAAACGGTGTAATGTAACGGTTCCCAATGAGTTCGTCGTGATGGCGAGTTGCCAAATGCGCCGCGAATTCTAACAGAATTGTGTTAAACATACCTAAAATATGTTTGAATATTTTACATATTTCATTTATTATAAAGTTTTTATTGTTTCTTAATTTGAATGCTTAATATGGATCAACAAAATCATTTACCTTCTATGTCGTTTACTGTCCATTACGTAGTGTTTGCCTCTAATGTTACGTCTAATAGAGATAGTGTAACAAATTAACCAATAATTTTGGAAATAATGACATCCAGACTAAAAATAATTCTTAAGTCATAAATATTGGAGAATATTCTAGAAGATTCCAATATAATATTTCAACATAACATGCGAAATAGCGAATAATTTCCCATGTGATATGTTGAATGACCTTGTTTTACTTGAATAATCAATGTGAGAACGGTCTCGAATAATCGAGAAAATTGTGTACCCCTTTAAATTGCGATCTCAACATACAAGAGATCGTCATTCTTATCGTCAAATATCAATAATTCTGATCAATAATTCTACGCTACTGTTATGAATAATAACTTGAAATTGTAAGTTGGTTATTTGATTTAATTTATTGTAATATATTTATCGAAGGAAATAAAATCTATACAGGCAATTGTCTAGATCATTTGCTGTTATATCAAATTAACAGACGTCTCGACTTGAACAAGTAACAACCGATTATATTCTGTTTGGAGTCAGATTGATATCTAGCTAGTTTAATTAGCCTAATTAGCAACTACAACAGAAGTCGTCTCAATAGAAGCACTTGCTGCAATTTCGCGAACTGCAGACGTACAGTTCATTTATCTGCTGAATCGAGTTTCGCTAACATGAGTAATTTTTTCAGCATTTCAAAGTAAAACCAGGCAGAGATGGCAGAGGAAGAGTTGAACATTTTCCTTTAATCTTTAGACCTACTTGGGTGCCTAAAGTAAAACCAAAAGGATTGCTGCAAACTTGATTATGAACTTAAAAGTCAAAAAACTAGGCCAACGGTTAACGAAAATTCCACTACTCTACCTTAGTTGGTCCGCTTTATGCCGACGGCGACTCAATATTGAACGGTCAGTTGGGCGACAACTTCATGATCCCTAGATCGCCATGGCGACCCAATTAGAAGTATGTTTGATTTATTTTCCACGGAACACTAGGAAGACGCTCGCGTAACACTAGTGTTCCGCGTAACACTAGTGTTCCGCGGAACACAATTTGGGAAACACTGATCTAGCCCATAAAATCAGTTGAAACGAAATGATCATTTGGTGATTTTAGGCTTTGTTTTTTCATATTTCCATGTCCATATTTGTCATATGATGTATGCAAATTACATTAGGCTATCCTGTTTTGCATAATTTTATGTTGCCGCTATTCTTCCGTCAACTACATCTCGGGCTCGCCGCTCAAGTTTTCATACTTTGCTAGATCTTATTCGTCGTAATTTTTTTTAGAATGTGTTTTATCCATTTATCTCAATTACCAGATGTCGCTAATAAGCCATCCTAATAATGAATGAATCATAATAGATGTTCCTGGAGTTTATTTTGAACGCAATATTGTTTTTCCGTGATTGTGCATTTTTTTATTATTATTCACCAGGTTGCTTCGTCGCTATATTTTTACTGTAATTAATTAAGTCTCGCGACTCCTTCGCGCTCAAGAGTCAATATTTTCCGTTTTTTAGTTTTATTATGTTTTTCTATTTGCTTTATATTGATTCTTGCATGACGAAAATAAATATCTGATCTGAATCTTACAAAACAATGAATAAGCAAAATTCAGAAGGCCCATAAGAGTGAATTGCATATTAATCTTTATCCTTCTTCACAAACAGCGCATTATGGTTTCATCCTAGTATAGAATATATAAAATGATGTGGATTTTGCACGGGGAACTCTGACAGTAATGGTTTATAATGGTGATGTTTTTCAAATATAAATCTTTTCACTAGAACTGATAGAAGTCACCAAAAAAATTGCATGGTACTAGATTTTATTTAGGGCGAATACGTTTTAGCGGAAATGCATTTACCAATGTCATTGTGGATAAATATGAAAACACTGTATTTGAAGTTTTATTTGGTCGTAACGAAACTGGTACCTCTTACATAAAATTTTTACAATACAAAACATTTACGTCTTGCGATGAATCAACATTTTTCAATTTTATAAAATTTCTTTATCCTAATATACAATATATATCAATTTTTATCGACACTTATTAAAATTTATTGAATATTCCAATCAAGTTTTATATCAATATATTCGACATATCTGTTATATATTTCGTATCAGTAATGTTAACGCGATATTGCAGATTTAAAATTGCAAAATCATAAAATATAAGAATAGAAGGGAGTTTTTACATCGAAAATGATGGCATATTCTTGGTGAAATTCGAAATTGCAATCAATATAATTCGTTAAAATAAATGGACTATAAAGAAATTGTGAATTAGGGGAATTGTATATTTTACTATAATTGATGAATTATCACAAGATGCAGGTGAAAGATGTATTTGTTACAGAAAAAGGATTTCGAACAGCAAAATTTAACATAAGTCTCAATTTCAAGTATGTCAAAAAGTTTAAGCAAATTATGGCTGATAAGTATATATGGCAAAACATGACGTCTACACTATACAGAAAATCGTGTGAATTATGAGCATTTTCCAGGTTGAATGCGCAAGTTGTCAATTCCGATATCTCCCTTTTCACCTCCGCTGCTGAACACTTGGATAACAATCTGTACAATAATTAAAATTTGGATTATTAAGGGTAACACATAGCAGTCACATATTACTATATTAATTGATTGCAATTCGATTTGATTGGCTCCCATGTCATAATTAAGGCTAGGAATTTTCGAATACCTGATGATTTCAGAATCGAATATTTTGTTCCAATCGAATCGAATCTGGAATAATTGTTTGCGACTTTTTTATTGTAACTGGTCGTGTAAAAAAATGAATGACTATAAACATAGAATAAATCACTCATACGTTTTATCAATAACTCATCACATGAAATAGTCATATGTCTGAATTGCGTTGCAAAAATAGGGCTTCAATGAAAAAAAAATTGAGGACTATTGGCGGAAAGAACAAAAAACAAGATGGAGGCGATTCGAAATTTCGCTCTGAACCGATTCGAATAATTTCCTATTTGATTCGATTCGAATATTTGATTCGAATTGCCCAGTCCCAGTCATAAATAATGTCTGGAGGGAGAACAAACTATTATTTATCCGTGGTCTATATTGATCACATTGAATCTGGCGGTTCGAATTAGCCCGAGTGGTTTTTAGGTGTTTTGTCGAATGGATTGTCCAGTGCATTTTTGCTCCAGTTTTTATTCTTCAAATCGGCAGATATGTGTATGCTGCAATCACCAATCTGTGGCATCTGTCTGATCTGTGTCGAATTAGTTCAGCGCAAGTTTTGTAACCATATGATTACCGATAGATTTGTTTGCAGAGAACTTAGTTACCGATGGTAATAACATTTCAAATAACGAGGCACACTTTTCTAAATTTCATTTTGTTTGATGAACTTACCGTAGCGGGAGTAACTTGTTGAAAGTCAAAGGTCACTCGACTCCACTTTGGATTTACAAGTACGATATCGGAAAGAGTCCTGGGTTCGTCTCCGAGTACACTAATTCGGAATTGCGTTCGTTTGTCGGTATCCATGTGACACCACAACGAAAGACAGAAGCATCCCACAAGGCCATGGGGACTTACAAGACCAGCCGAATCAAATTTACGAGTACCGGAGGCTTCGAAGTACAGGTAATAATCTGTAAAAATAACACCAAGAAACATTATGGAACACGAATATTTTATGCAGTGCAATATAAAAAGTAAACAAAATGAAATTTAAAAAATATAGAAAGAATATAAAGAAGAAATGGTACTATGTGAGCGTAAGATCTACCCTCCCGTTAGCACCTTAGCTGTACTATTCGCTGTATTTTCGTTTACGCGGTATACCTCAGCTTTAGTCTACATATGTCGCCGAGGAATGTTTTCTATAAAACGAGGCATGCATTCAGCATGTCTCCACACTAGGGATGGCGGAATCGAGTCTGAATTCGATTACAGAATCGATTCTCCGCGGAATCGATTAAAATCGATTTCGATGCATTGGAATCGATTCTTAAGGTTAAAATTTAGTTTGCAAACAATATGTACGTTTTATGGCAAATTCTTAACATATATGTATAAGCTGCTTTACTGCCATGCTGAGTTGCTACGAGGTCGCAAACTTCACCATATCTATATATATATATATATGTATTTTTCGCTAGAAGCCTTTTACGTTTATATATTTCAACAAAAGTCTCTGTGGTTTCTGAAGGATTCGTTTTTTTGTGCAAATTTGTCTACTGTGACAGATATAATACCCGTACTACTTAGTTTTGGCCTTCTTGACCGTCCACATATTTGGACATAGCTCTCGTGTTCGATTTCATATAGTGTTGTTTAAGTGGGTATGTTTTCTCGGTAAGATATGTCGAAGAATCGAGATTCGGAATCGAAAATTCAGGAATCGGATAATAATCGATTACTTGTAAGTAGTCATACTTGGCATCCTTACCCCATACACGGCAAAGAAAGCCAAGAAAGAAGATATTAAGGAGCACAAGGGGAGAGAGACGTCACAGATGGGAAAATCCGAAGAAAATGATAGAGAAAAAGGTGACGATATTGAGTATTAACAATGAGGGGAAGAAAAAATGACTTACCTCCGTCCTGAGCTTCCGATGCACCGGTGCCTTCAGTTGGTGTGGGTCCCATAATTCTTTTGAATTGGTGTGCAGGATCACTGAACATATGGCTCCAGCCACCCATTGGCAACGTCTCGCTTTCAAATGACTCACTGGAATCTAATGAGAAGAGTAAACCGTGTAAAAATTTATTTTTATTGAACATGTTTCGCTTTTTTAGCATTCACGAACATGAATAGTCGGTGGATAGGGTCAGCCAGGGTTCCAGAAAGTACTGTACCTCCGCAATATTACATTCAATAGCGAGTGTCCAGATTATTATATGTAGATTTATCTTTAAATATATAACCGAATACACAAAAGTGTGCTTCACTATTTTTTTTCGTGAAAACCTTCAAGTATTCCTGGGTTCCGCATTGAATTGTTGATTCACATATTTTTGATTGGCGTATTTTATGATAACAAATATAATCATACAATCAAATATGAATATAATCAAATGCGCTGGGTTCTTTGAAATGTTTTATTGTGGTTCCGATTCACCAAAAAAGATTAAAACTATGGGTGTAGTACATACTTGCAAGACGACTTTTGAAATACCATGCACATGTAGCTTAATTATTGCTTAGTGCGGTATATAAATGTTTCTTACATTCAGGAATAATGGCCCAAGAACCGCGTGGTGGTGTACTACAATAGAGTGCATGATGGATTGGTCGGATTTTCTCCATAACATCTACATCAGATCTATTTGCATTGCATATTATAGGAACGACGATATCAGTCTGGAATTCGTGGAATAATTTGACCACCGTAGCTCTGAAACATTGTGAAGATCAATTACTGAAGTATGGACCTTCGATAGTGATTTCATACTGGTTCCATTATTGAGAACCGATTACATTTAAGACACCGTGTGGATGAAACAGTCGAGAACGATTTTATTTTTTAAAACCATAAACTAACAGACGGTGCTAATGATACAAGTGACAAATCACTAAACGTGGATTCTCAAATTTTATACGATACTCTCCATTGATAACAGTAGTTTTAAAACCCCAAAATACCAATTTGTTTAAATTAGATATTTTAACATTGGGTGCCGCTGCTCGATACCGTTTGTGATTTTCCTTTCCAATAAAAACTGTGTAATTATTATTTTCTCGTAATTTGTGTACGATTGTCAACACCATAGAAGGGATGTCAGACTGCGGCACAATACGTATATTTTAGATTAAACTATATATATATAAAATATATTTTATGCCTACAATACCCTTGTTTCTGATTACAGAATATAAATATGAATATAAATTGCCCTGAATGTATGCTCCGCAAAATATATTTTCCACTATAAATTAATATGGAGTCTGGAGATAGCAATTGATTGTGGATATATCAGCAAATGATTGCAAAAACTTATGAATGCTTATTATTTCGAACCTCAGGGTAAACTTAATTTGCGCTTTTGAACTGTTTTCATAAATTTAAACTTTCACGGGACTTCTATAAACATGTCAGTATTTTAACCTATAATATTTACCTGATGTAAAATATTTCGTTTTGTTTGCATGTTGCTGGTCCTTTCCATGTGACAAACGTGGATTCAGCTATTTTCAGTGATCTAAAAGTTAGTGTAACATTTATTCGACATCTAAACCTTTATTTAATTACTATTTGAACTATCAATGGAACCCTGTAAGTAAGTTTTTCGTTGTAAATGCCTATTTGAACGATTCCAAGCATCGCACAAGGTCTCACGTCTTTATTACAACCTTTTTTTTTTTGAATTCATTATGCAAATTAAATTTGAATAGCGATATATCAAAAAAAAAAAATTTTTTGTATTTTGTGATGACAGATTAGTAAATCTACATCGGCAATGTAAGTATAGGTTCTACTATACCATGGCCTTGTTTAGGACAGCCTGCTAATGCCCCATCGGTTTGCAATATCAAATAATTAAATAAGATTAATTAATATAAAAAGATTCCGGTTTGAAACTCGGCAGTTTTACGTATTCAGCGAGACAACTGCAAGATTCTTATCACTGTCGATAACAAATATGGAAGACAACTTACGGATTTTTATGAGAGACGGCGGAATTGTCTATACCAAAGCATTTCATTGGCTGGAAGTTATCTGCTGGATTTTGACTCTCGCCAGGTTGATCGTTGACAATAAATTCACCAACTGTGTCTGTTTTTTTGATATTTTCTTCTTTTCTGACCTTTAACAAAACATTTATATATATATGTGTAAGAAAAACAAAGAACAAAAAGAGAGATAATGGCGGCAATGCAAGCAGTATTTTCAACTGTTTGGAACATTTTTTCAACGTTCCTTTGGAAACCTCGCTCTTACCCAGGTTAAATTTAGCTAAAGATTGTTAAACTTAGTTCCAATGATTTAAAGCAGGGGTCACCAAACTACGGCCCGCGGAAAAGATCCTTCCCTTTGGTGTCCTTTCATCTCGCCCGCAATAACACGAAAATGGTAATGGCGAAATTTTTATCAAAGGGATGTTTTCCCAGCATGTTTATTTCGTAACTTCGGCCAATCAGCAAGATGCAAAAAGTGACGTAATCATAAGCCTTTTCGCATCCGCTCATACACTTTTGTTTTGTCAATCAGACAGATTTTCAGTCGTGGTTGCAAACATTACCTAGTTTTCACGATTTTGAATGCTATTCGTTAGTTTTTAGTTGTGTTCCGGAAATTTAAGTACGAATCAAATAAGTCAATCATCATTTTGTCTTCGTATGAATTGTAGTTTATTTGCAGTAATCAAACATCTGTCTAGAATAGCTGTGATAAAATAGGCTAAAATTTTCTGCCGGTACGCAACGTTTTCTGCGAAGAATGCACTCGTACAACTGTGGCGCGTAGAAATCTTGTATATTTGTATTGCTATGATGTTCTTGATCCATATTCTGCGATATAGAATTTAATATTCAAGACTTCTAAAATGTAGAATATATATTGTTGAATAAATTGAATGGATTTCCAACCTATGTAAATTTATGGTATTGCATTGACAAAAATAGTTGTCCGGCCCGTTTTCAACACAGTTTAAATCATACATGGCTCTCGGTTAAAAAGTTCAGTGGACTCTGATTTAGAGCAAAGCGCTTAATGTCGCGTTTGTGATATGATGAAGTCTTCCGTTTGCTCAATTTCCCGAATCGTCAATAAGGAACAGATTGTAACGATTAACTTTTTTATTTAAATTTGTTATTACGTGTTGGGAGTAATACTTGATTTGAGCGTTTTGAAGAATATGATATGTACGTTGTATTTTTGAATTTTTTTTTATTTAAACCAGAAACAAACAAAAAAATACTATTCAACTGACCTGCATAAACATTCCTTTATATGGTCCACCTCCTAATCTGACGTTTTTCAGTCTCACTAAAGAAAAAACACAATGAAAGACTTATGACATGACCTGACAACAGTTCATTTGAGTTTTTCTCAATACAAAAAGTTACTATTTTTATATAAATAATTATTTGGTCCTGCGTGGGTGTCTTTTTCAAATAGTTAGATTAACTTTAATATATTTTTAAGTATTTTATTAGGGGTTTTTAATATCGTCAATGCCCATTGAATAATTTGTTTAAACATAATACAGCCTGATTGTAAGGAATAAATTATATAGATTGTTCTATTGTTTTACTACAACTTGCATTTGATCACGCACGGCATTTCACAAATACATTAAATTATCGGCTAAAATCATTTTTTTGTTTTACCCATCTGCAATTATCTTTACAGTGCTACTAATTCCTATGAAAACAAGATAGTGATGCATACGGAGTAAAAATAAAATGAAGAGGAATAAAACGCGACATACTTTGCATGATTTCATTCTCCTCAAATACATAACAAGCAGGTATAACATGGTAAGGTTTCTTAGCCCCCGGCTTCACTCCGGCATGACTCGGCGTCATGCTTTTACACGCTGCCAGAGGAGGACCTTTTTTTTTCGCACTCACAAAGCATATCCCAACAAATAAGGCAATAGCTGTGAATATAACTCGCGCCATCTCTGTAGCGGCAAATCAGTATTTTAGCAGAAGTTTGGTTCTATCAAGATAAAAAATAATATTTAGATAATATACAGACGATTGTCTTCAAAAAAATATGTATGACACCAATAGTGGTGTCCAGCAACTGAGAAAATGAATACATAGGGTTGTTTCAAATGATATTATAGACGGAAAATAACAGAAAGAGTTTATATATTAGTGTATAATGAAGTGGGACTATTCAGATTCGTACTGGTCTTAAGAAACTTTCAGTATTTTGCCAGTTCCTACCAACTACATTTTATCTGGTATTATGGGTGTAGCGTTTTTAAATTGCGTTAATAAGCCCCAAAGAACTGAAGTAGGTTCAGTTTACAGCGTCGAGTTTGCGATGATTCTATTTGCAAAATTAACAGTACTTCCGAAATATATGAACCAAGATGGCGGACACGGAACGTAGTATGTGTACCAGGTCAGGGTTAGACAATAATTTTATTCCAATTTTAATTATTTTAGTTCTATTACGAGTTCGAGGACTAGCCAAGTGACTCCCATAGTATTTGTACCTGAAACTATAGCCCAACCCTGGCCTGGTACACATACTACGTTCCGATGTCCGCCAGCTTGATACACATACTTCGGGAGTACCAAATTAACTATCTATCTTCGCATCCCACATCTTTCACACAATCTATATTTTAAAACCGATCAGCAATATTGGTGATAACATTTTTATTCTCCTATCTTCAACTTTATGAATGACTAACATTGTCAACTACTAAGTTACGTATGGTAGTCACTCTGACATTGCACATAAATTTATATTGAGATATACTAAAAGCTGCTGCAGGGCATACCATACGTTGAGACGTGTTCAGTATTTATATTGAAGATAACAGTGTGTTATTTTGCCTTACATCGCGTGTAATATTACCATGTATAGCCTAGTATGAACCAGGTTTAAATCTGGTGTTTCAGTGCCATCCCACACATAGACAATTCTTGATTTGTTTTAGTTTGTAAAACCCGAATTCTAAAATAACGAAAGTTGCGCGATTATTTTTAACATATCTCTCGTGTTCTCCGGTACCTATTAAATTACTTCAAATTTTTGTTTTTCTCAAAACGACATTATAATTAATGGCTCTAAAAAACGATTTGTTTTATCTAGTGGTGATCACGGACAAGCCTGTATATACGAGCAAATTTTTCTCTTATGGCTGATAGTAAATATACACACTGAAAGATGAAATAAATTTATTACTGTATAACATCTTAGATGCATGATTTAAAACGGGGCAAGTTATCTATTTTAAAATTTGCAAATTGTAAACAAATTCTGCAAGTAGCCTTTGTCCTGTAATATGTAAATTTATTGTTATATTGAGTAGTATTTAAAACTCAAGTTATTTTATTTAAAACTAAGTTAATGAAGCTAGTTGTAATGCATAATTAGATTTGTTCACAAATTGACAAAAACATATTTATGGTACCAACACATGAAGCCTATAAAATTGAAGCAATAATTTTTTGTCAATATCCATCAACCTTTCCCTCAAAATAAGAGGAAAACAAAAGTTGTTTATCAACCTTTCCAGACACCTTTCATTACAACTCGTTAGAGACTTTCGCCGTCGTTTCATTGTTTATAATCAAAATTAGCAATGCTTTATATATATTTAGTTTTTTAAACAATTTTCCTATGTATATTTCTCACTATTTTGAACTAATTGTGATATTGTTATCGAAAACTCTTTGAAAGCTTTTTGAAGAAATGCTAAAAATCCGCTTTTCATTATTGACCAACTATGCAGATAAACTATTCCGGAGGTGGGGTCTAGTTTAAACAGACAGATTTGAAAATATATTTCTAAAAATTATCGAAATATCTCATACCCGTTTTTTTTACGAGAAAGACTCATTTCATAATCTGCGGAATAGAAATTAATCGTCTTTGTGTTTATTGTACATAAGTATGCTCAAATACGCATCAAACTGATTTCATCGTTGAATTACGGCGGATTATGTATATATGTTAGACTGTTGAATTTTGATTCCGTCATAAATAAACCACACCCAAAAAAACTTGTTTGGCGTCTTTGAAAAATCGAAATTTTTCAAATTCGAAAAACATGCACATGCTCTATGCACAAGGCTGAACATAAGCAACCTCTTGTGGCTATCTTAGTAACTTTACAGCCGCTGTAATTTGTTCTTACTACCAACATATATATTTCAATAAATTTATTATGGGCAAAAATGTCTGAAAGTAAGTTATGAGTCAATAAGATTATGTGAAAGTTGTATTTATTTATTGTTCATATCGTGCAATGATTTTTAAAATTCAGATAAAAACATCGTACAGAATTTAGGAAAAGTGTTACGTTACAATAAACTTTTTTGTTTTTCTACAAATATTCTCTGTACATATGATTCAAAAAACGCCTCAGCTCTGCTTTAAACTTGAATGAAATAAAACATTTTATTGCCTATATTAGTTTATATGCGAGCTCCACGTATGGGCGACAAACGCCGAAAGAAGACGGTGTCATAACAAGTCATTGTCGCGTCATAATCTGTGATTTTGTTTACGATTTAATTTTTGCACGAACGAGATGACGGTGTCATATTTATTTGAACTGAAATAGAAAGGTTATTTATTCCTAATCAATTTGTTTTCTGTTTTTAAAATGATTTTCTGTGGTAGTTGAATGTCATATATCAAATGGGCGCATTATTATCATAAATTTATACAAGGTAAGTATATGGGGTATCCATCAAGTCTTAAAAAATTTTAAACTTTCAAAGGGAATTTATCGATATTATATATTGTTTTGGCCCCAACAGATGTATTTAATGAGGTATATATATTTAAACAATTACGGATTAATAAACAACAAACCTGGTTAAGATATATTGAGAACTGACTTCACAACAAAGCTGAAATTGTAAAGGGACTTTACTTATAGTTAGGGAATTAACTCTATGAGAAAGTCTTTATCAGATTAAACACATACCAAAGTGACAAAGCAACTTTCATCACAGCGGAAGAATTGATCAACAAACTCGAAAACGGAAGCTTAAACTTGTAACTTATATGCATTTTCAATGAAAAATGAAATGATAAAGGCCACAGGAACATTTCGTGGACATTGCGACAGTGGAAATATAAGAACTCGCATATAAGCACAAGGAAAATAAAGGAATCTCGCTGCGCACTAACACAAATGTCTTTCTGTAGGGTTTCGTCTGACCGAGATCAGACTTCTTCAGACAAATATATTGCTAGTTGAAATATGCTTGTCCGAAGTCAAACGAGACGTTATACAAATACATTTGTGCTAGTCTGCGGCAAGACTCCTGAATCAAATATAGTGTTCTTATTTATTCGTGTTACAGCGTCCTTGTAGTATACGCATACGAACCCACTTGTGCAAAGACATAGAGCAAAGAAAGGTTGTTAGTCTCGCTTAATCTACCACATTTTTCAGATGAATATACTTAGCCCCATGTTTTAAACTAAACTGATTTACCCATGCAAGAATCTACCAAGTAAAATTGAAATCAAAACAAAGAATTATGAATAAACTAGGACTCTTAGTCATCCCAGATTCACTGGAATCGTAATCAGGGCTAACGATGGTTCAATGCCTTCGTGCAAAAAGAAAGGAACAATTACCCAACGTTTCCCGATGATTTTGCCGTTTGTGGGGGAGGAATTTTAATCTTTATTCAGTACTCCCGAAGTATGTGAACCAAGATGGCGGACACCGGAACGTAGTATGTATACCGGGTTAGGGTTAGGCCATAATTTCAGGTACAAATACTACGGGAGTCACTTGCCCAGTCTCTAAACTTGTAATAGAACTAAAATGGAAAAAATTGGAATAAAATTATAGCCTAACTCTAACCTGGTACACATACTACGTTCCGGTGTCCGCCATCTTGGTTCACATACTTCGGGGGTACCCTTTATTTGCTGTAGTATTACTAATATTCTTTATTTTTTTCTTATTAATATTCATATAATACTTATTCATATGCAAATAATTAACTACAGTAGTGCGACTTATTATAACACTAGCAAAAGATACATTAAAGATTGAACAAATAAAATATATTTACGCAAAGGGAGGGAGTAATAATGGGGGGGGGGCCTAAATAGGCAAAGTGAGAAATTTATCAAAAAAGGTTGGGAACCACTGGTCTAATTAATAGTAAAACAGTACCAAATTTGCCGAATTTTATTAAAAACGCACTTTTTTGAAAATGCCCGGAGGCGAATAAATTCGTGCAAACGATTTGACTTCATTACAAAAGGATTATCGTTACGTCAATAGAATGTGCCAGTCATCGTGAAAATCTAGTTTTGATTTTGCATAAACATATCGTGACCATATTGAACCCTTTTTGCAGAATTTATTCCAGTTTCATGTTGATTAATTCATTGATATAAGGAATAAGACATGATATTAGATGACTCGACAACTTCAGTTAGAATTGAACGAACTTTTGATACTCAGCCCTAACGCCCCTCGAGCAAAGATACTGTCATTTTTTTAAACCACGCTACGCAATTACGCTAACATGAGCTCAAGTATTCAATATTTGTTCCAAAAATATAATTGAAGGGCGAACATTTCTGGACAAAACACTGCGTAACTACCTTATAGTTTTCTGTTTTCTTAAAATAAATAATTTCAATCGGACCGTGAATAAAAAAAGTTGTAATGCAATGAATGCGATAATTCAAATGTCGTTTAAAAATATTATTTTTATCAATATTTCGTATACCAACTTGTATTAATTTTATATAAGTATGCAACAGAATTTACGAATGTACTGGAAGTGTACGTGCTATATGCTCATCTCCATCATTTTTTTATATTCAAAATAGACAATGTTGCATGTTTTTGTTATAAAATATTCGGCATAATCATAAATACTTCATGGTTATTGTTAGCGCTGTTAAAAATAATAACATTGGATTGTTATTGCTATTTTTTTCAGTATCTCAGTCTTTTGTGCGACAACAAATGAATCATAGAAAATGAAAATGTAGCATTAATCTTAGCC